TATATACGAAACATGGCATATGTTGATTAACGGCAATGTTAGTTACGAGTGATTATTTGCATACTGCGTGGGTAGTTATATAATTCTGAAAATTACATTTATTATACATCAATAAAGCAAATTGAGCAATTCGCAATCGCATAAAATGAACGTATTCGATGCCAAATAAGTTGGCAATCAATTAAATCCTGGATCTCTTTCTCTGTGCTAATTTGCTATTGACGCAGTAAATAACGCTTAAGGGATGCCAGACATATGCTTCCTGCGATCAATTTAACTACTGCTTTACTGGACATGAAGTGAATTATTGTTTTAAATATGTCCAAAGCACTTTTGATTAAAACTGAAACTCATATTGAAGAATGGAAAGTATTTTTTGCTCTAGATTGAATAGTAGTAACTAAGAATTATGGGATTTTGCGCAAACTATTAACTAGAAACTAGAAATCAAAATGTTGACGAAGAAAAGGTAGAAATTTATAGAATTTTAAAGACTTGTTGAAAACCTTGTTAGCAATCAAAGATTTAAATGTAAGTTTAAATCTGTGAATTTGCTTTTTAAAAATTATATCGCGATCATCTGAAAAGCAAAATAAGTTATCGCAATTGAGATTTTTTTTTGTTTTCGGCTATCAATTGCACACTTAAGAATGTTGCGCTAATACTTGAACTCGAGCAACAAGCCAAGTCATTGTTCGAGCGCTGTCGCTGCTCATTCCAACGTATTTTTCCCCCCAATCAATATAGCCTGAATTATAGAGTTATCGATTCGTTTAAAAATGCCGTTTTGCATAATTCTTTTCGGTTTACAAGGATTTACAAAATATCTAAAAAACTATGTTTTATTCTCTTTTTAAATATGCGAATAACAAATTCTTATAGTTAAAGATATAAATCGTATTTAGAGAAATAAAAATGATATCTTTGATAACTGTTTATTGAAAGGGTATATGATTGATCGTCGTTTTATTTGTGTTCGTTTCGAGTATATAATGTCAGAGGTCACCAGTTGCGTCACGTCAAGTAGAGGGAAATTCAAATATCTGCATAGACCTTGCTCCATATTATATAAAAGATTATCGAAACATTACTTAATCATTTTGATTAATTGTTACAGTTTACACAAACACAATATAAACGTACATTTTCTATCGATTTTTTTAATTTGTTTTAATTAAAAAGGATGTTAGATTTGATGTTAGAAAAGACATCTTTAGCGTTAATTTGTTATAACGCTCAAAATTGTTTTACTGTATTTTTCAACATTTTAGGATGAAAAATATTCAATAGTCAAAGTGTGAATATAATTTACTATGTTACACGTCCAACGTAATAGGAAATTTGAAGAAAGATTATAAATAATATTTTAGTACTCAAGATTTAAAATTGTTTTTAAAAAGTACAGTGTAAAAAGTACAAAGGAAACGTGGAACGAAATACGGTCTCATATTGAATGGAACGTCAACATGAACCCAACTATACAACACGCAATATGTGACAAGAATGATAAAATTTGTTGTAAAGATTTCTATTGTAGTTATACAAAAAAAGTAATTGAATATTAATTATACTGTTACAATAACAATGTAGAAATGAAAAAAGCTTGGATTATGATGTTTTGTAGTAATTCAAGAATATTAGAATATAATTGAGTTAGGTTTGTAATCCACTTTGATGTATTAAAAATAAGTGTAAGAAAATGAGTCGGGCAATTATAGGAATGTCGCTCAGGGCCATAAAGTGCACTACTTAAGAGTAGTCGTTTCTTACAGTTGAAAATCCCCTAATTGCTAGAGTAAAACGTGTTTTAAGTGTTTGAATATATAGAAAGGGGATCAGCCTCAAAAGATGAGCGCGGTTTGAGAGGCAACTAAATGGGATTTATTGTATTTATTCCAATTAAACAATAATTTATATACATTTACTTATTCAGACGCAATCGGTGCCTTTAAAGGAATTCGCTACCTTGAGTTTATATCGCACAAATGGATTATTCATGATTCCCTTTCCTTTCTTTTCAAATGAAATAAACTTTTCATGCGGTTACTTTTTCTTTTCCATGTATTTTTGTTTCATGTTTCCTTGTTTTTGAACAAAATTTCGTGGCATTCCCCTCGGTGTTCTGATAAAGGCTTTCAGACATAAGGCGGACATGTAATTACCTGCTTTCAGTTGACAACCCGAGAACCATATCATGTACAACCGAATGCGTGTCTGCCGTCACTATATAATTATATTTTCGGGGTTGGAACCAGAATACGAAGAGGCGACATTACTCTTGTGTTTTTTCAACTACAAACAAATTCAATTCGTTTGATGCAAGCCTCGTTCGTCCGTTTTATTTTTTTACTTTGTAAAACACGAAACGCCTTTTAGAGAAACTTTTACAAAAAAAAACCTCCCGCGTAAACAGCGGCTGTTATTTGATGTTTTCCCTGAAAGTACCTCAATTAACATCTGTTCACCTCTTTAGGTTTGTGGAACGTCAGCAGACTGCGGCTGCAAAGATTTACCTAGACGAGTTATTGGATTTCCCGAAAGTTCCGCAACTTGTCGCTGCCGAAACCTATTTATATTGATTCACCTTTCTAGGTCAGAAATTAACCCCCGTGCGCTTATCGCCTGAACTGCTTCACCTCTTTGCGATACGAAACAAATATAAATATAAAACAAACACATACAAAGAAAAAAATTATTCACCCTTTACCGAATCGCGGACGAATTGGATTCATTTAACAAAAACACGAGACTGAATCTGGAATCCAATTAGAAATAAGTAAACTCGAGATGAGCTTTGATGGCACAAAGTTCCCGCAAACCTCGGGCAATCCTATTTGCTCGGAAATAACAGTTTACGCTTTATTTGTCCTTTTTGAAATTAGAATGTCACATTTCAACAGTAGATTTTCTTGTCTCATTTCATTCCAATTTAAATTTCTCTTATTTCCTTCATTTATGTTAATAAATCTACTTTCCTGTAATATTATTAAAACTAGTTTCATACATTACAACATAAACTAATTTACTCAGTTACTTTCATTCATCTAAATAAAGAACTTTTACATCATGAAATTATTTCATAAAAAGAAATTCTTAGGCTATTGTTTTCATTTATAACTTTTTATTTCTACCTCATCTACATGTAGCAGTTGTAGAAAATATCTACACTTACTGGTCAGTGTAGATTTTAGCATATAACATTCTTTACTATATTTATTAATGTAATTAATACTTAGATTTATAAGTAATACATTAATACCTCGCATATTAGGAGTAATTGGTTCCCGAATTGTTAAAACCGGACTAATCGAGGACTCTAACATAAATATAAACAGTATTAAAGAAGACTTGACTACAGAGGTAATAAATGATCATAATTATTATTTTCTGCTGAATAGATATTGTTAAATCCTGGAAATATATAAGAAACGATAGATATATCACGTAATACGAGTGTTAGCTGTGCAGTTTCGTCGCTTCGTGCAGTTTTTGAATGATTCAATTCCACCCGATCTCTAAGGAGGATCTGTGTAAATCTAGAAAAATCCCAATTTATGATGGTTCGAATCACAATGTTTCTTTATTCATCTGAACTTTTCTTTATAAGAAATGTGATGCTTTTAATAAAATAAAACCTTTATTTCAGTAATTAGAAAAATTTCTTATTTTCTCTTGCTGGTGTACGAGTCATTTCCGGAAGAATTTTATTAAGTATTGAAAATGCACTTAGCGGATTTCGTCTGGTGCTAATTAGAGATGTTGGTAGTAAATGTACATTTAGTTCGACTAAAACCCTTCGTCCATTAGCTCTTTCACTTACAAATTCAATAATAAATGGTACAAATTTCAACTATTTCACCAAAGAAATACAGTTGAAACTACAAAATTTTATGTTTAAATTAGCAAGAGTTGTTTTTCAATTAATTATTTTGTATTTATATTGTTTTAATTGTGGCTAATTTGTGATTTACATATTTTCCCGTACGTTCATTATGCAAAGTACATTACGTAACATCAACTCCAACTGATTTCAATCCATTTGCATGATTGTGATTGGTTATATATGCGCAATCCGGTGCTAACATCTAGATAAAATCAACATACTCAGTCCTAATTTCATCTGCATGCGATTAGAGATAAATTAATTGCACGGGGACAAATTTTTTGATTGAATACACATTCAATATTTTTCTAATTATCAATAAGCTCTGCATGAATCTACGTAGAGTTTAAATGATTCAAATATTTTTTACATCTTTTAACATAATACAAAGCACCAGAAACTCGCTATTAGTGTTTGCTTTCTTGGCTTTGGCAAGAAGCTGTGACAGCTCGCTTCTATGAGCTTGATGAAAAGCCCAATTCGTGTCCAGCCAGCTTCATTCATTTCGGACATTCGAAATAAAAAAAACGTGTACTTTAAAAACTGCTTTTATAATACTTTTTTTACTCAAACTGTTTTATTTATTTATAGTTAAATACATAATGTAATACCGATTTTGTAAACCCTTGAAAATATAGTAATGAAATTCAATAAAATAAAAATAAGTTTTCAAATATTAGTCACAAAATATATCGGTTTCTTCGCTTAATACAGTCAAGTACTCTTATTAAGTATTATATGGACATATTTATTGTTCTCTACTTTTATTGATCATAGATATTTACTTTCATTAGGTACGTGAATTAATAGAAATATCTACATATTTTAGTTGTATAAAAGTTGTTTATCTTGTCGTGTATATGTAAATTCTAAATAGATTATGGGTTTAAAGAAGCTTTGCAATATTCGATTATGTAAGTGAAACAGTAAAGCTTACCTGGGGCAAACCAGAAGTAACGACGGTAAAAATGCAAAACATTGACCATGACATATTTCAGTTGGAGCGCGTGAGCCGATATTTCTGCCCCGCTCTGCTTAATCTCGATAAAGAACATGAAGCTAAGCCGTAACAACAATTTATTTACATTAATTCTGTTTCGTTTCCTGTTGACCGCAGCTGATAGCAGTTTCTTGCTGGCCAACGCTCAGATCGTCGATTTCCCGATAGTCTACTGCAATGAAGCCTTCTGCAAGATCTCCGGATACAATCGGGCGGAGGTTATGCAGAAGTCTTGCAGATGCGGCTTCATGTTCGGTGAGCTGACCGACAAGGAGACCATCAACAGGGTGGACCACGTGCTGGAGCATCAGCTGCACGACCAGTTCGAGATACTTCTATACAAGAAAAACAGTGAGTACATCCCATTCCACTATCAACATCACAATCCACATCGAGATCAAAAAAAAAATTTAAATATTAATTATTTAAAAAAAAATATAATTATAGAAAAAACATCTCATAAGTTGACACTAAAAAAAAATCAAATTAAAAATCAAATCATCAGGAAATTATTAAACCGAATTAAGAACACTTAAGACTTGCTTGTGGTTAAACTAAAGTTAAGCATGTAATGTTTATCTTTATTTTGTTTCTATTTTGGCTGAGGGACTTTCGAATTTCTTTCATTTGCCTCGCAACTTCGCGAATGATAATACTCCATGATAAGTATTCTCGCTCATTTTCTTTTCTTTTCTTTTTTTTTTCGTTTCACCTTAATTCTTTCATAATATAGCTCTTCATTGATTAATTAACATCCATTTACTTCCGTTCTCGATTGATTGATATAATTTTAGTTTGATTCTTTCTTTATTTAGCACACGACATTGCGAGACAAAAAGTATAAATGTAGGGATTATCTGAAATATGTAATTCCATCGCAGGATGAATTCATAAAGTAAAATAAAGCATTGTAAATTTCAAATGTTTGACGTTATTGTAGAAATCTTTGATGTTTCTCTTGAGAGGCACTAAAGCATAACTCCGAAATTGGGAGGAAACGTCATAAAAAAAATAAGTTGCAGTTTTTTTTATTATATATATTCCCATTTCACCAGTAAAAAAAATGTGCACACAAATGGGTAACATGCATTGAAATGTTGGAGCCGGAGAAGTAAAATATTAATTACATGTTGAAAAATTGAAGCTTTGGAGCAGAGAATGCGCGCACTGTTCATATTGCATGAAAATTGAATGGTTTTCTTTCAGAAAGGCGATGAAATGCAGTACAAATGCCTCTTGTATTAAAGTAATGTATTCATTAAGAAATCTTAACAATAATTTTATTAAATTGTTTATTAACAAAAGTATGATACAAAAAAATACATGATTTAGGTTTAAATATCGAAACTAATAATGTACTTGTGTAATTTAAATATAATAAGACAGTAATGCTGATTGAATGATAAACAAAGTTGTATTCCTAATAAAATGTAATGCATTTCAAATTGTATAAGCAAAACTTTTAAATTATTTATAATTTTACTAAAATGTAATTATTGTTACATAAATGCTTGATTATATATTTGAAATTTTGATGATGGTATCTGGAAGAATAAAAGAAGCGAAAGGAATCAAAGTTGTAACTAACTTTCTATATTTTAAGGGCGTTCATCCTCGGTAATCGCCTGGATGAATGTTCTTTTCGCTACTTTATAAGATTGACGCGCAGCCAAGGGTTTTGTGACAAATCATTTCAAAAATCCTTAAGATATATTTTATCCTTTTTAGTAAGGGATTTCGATAAAAAAAAATCTTCTATAGTTAAAAACGTGTATATTTTTTTTTTTGAAATTGTATTGGTTCGATAATTTATATTCAAGTAACTTACAGAGGCGAAGTGATTTATAAGGAAAAAATGTTGAATTAGATGGGGTTTTCTAAGGAGAAACTACTGGGGGAGGATTTATAAAAAACGGAATCGTGAAATAGGGGAGGTATGGCGCATTGGAGCAACCGTTGTAAATCTCCTTTTACAACGGCTGCTCCAATGCGCCATCATGCCATAGCATTCATCGCCCGACGGACTCGTTTGCATTACACATAGCTTTCTGGTTAGTTAACTCAAAGAGAAGAACTAAGTTAATTATCTATTGAATAAAAAAGAATCAGCCCTTTTACTGTTGTTAATAATAAAGACCGCATTGAATATTGTGTCCTTTTTGTATAGAAATTATTTAACAATTGATTTATCAAAGTGTTTTTTACTCGCAGCAATATTGAATTATCTTATAGATAATTCAATCACATGATCGATATAATACATCTCTGGGTTTTAACGATTACAGCTGGAGATTATGTCATTTGTAAATGTTGCAGCAATTGGATATATTTCGATGGCATGAAAAACTACATCCTCTTAATGGATTATCTTTCTTCATACAAAATATTAATCCAGATACAATCATAGCTTGATTAACGGCGTTTTCAGAGGTAAAAATACTATAGACATAATAGTAATGAAAATCATTAAATATAAAAGTTTTTTTCGTGCCTTTTCTTTTCTTTCTCTCATTTAAAAATTGCCTATATTGAAACTTCGTTATCAGAGGTAACGTTAATTGAGATATGCCTGTACAAATTTATGATAAAGTACACTGCATATTTCCCAAAAAACTCATTAAAATATATAATAATAATCAAATATTCAACTCAAGTTAAAAAGCAACAAACAATATAAATTTGTTAAAAATTCCATCTGGAATTCCTCTCATATTTTCATTATATCGACTAACCATAAATTTGAATAAATGAATTACACGTAATTGGAATATATGTGCTTTCATAGTTCCATTTTTCATAAGCAATTTCAAAGTTTGATTTTTGTTGTTATTGATGAAACTAAAACGTATTCAGTTCTAGAATTATTAGAATAGAATAATTATAAGAATCAAAGCAAATATTTAAGTAATTGTACAATTCTTGCAATAAATAATATTATCAAATTAACGTTAAATAATTATTTCATTGTTCAATTAGATTAGCATTAATCTGCTAACTTCGTTTGAAAGACACTTGCCACAGATGATAATACTGATTACTGTAACTGTAAAACGCTCGAGGCGAATAACAAATTTTTGTATTATAAAAGGACACACGTTCGTTGATACTGCTCTTCTATTTTTATATTTTTTTGTAGTCCCTCGGCTTTCATGTCCCCAGGGATAATGCATTGTTACTGCAAATTCCTGAAATCGTTTGTTCTCCCACTGGAACAATTCCCTTTCATCAGGTTAAACAGTAAAAGGCATGAATAATATAAAACATATTCTGATAACAAGTGCATTGAAATGCCTATTACAAGCGTGAAACAGCATTGATTTTTTTTAAATTAGTTTTGTCTTAAAGTAACATTTTTATTATTACAATTTTGATTCATACAATAACATATAACAACTGTTGCTGTACTATAGTTTTTCAATAAATATATTTCTATAATAAAGTGAATACAGGATTTGGATAGTTAAGTATTTATGGAATCTTGCCCAATTTTCTTAATAACGATTTTAGCCTCTTAAAAAACGTATTAGTTTCATGAAATAAAACAGATTTTAATTGCATTCTAGAATTAACCATTACCATAATAAGTAACGAAATATGATATTATAGCGGATTATAAAAAGTATTTATAGCAGTTTTTTTTTTGATAGAATATTACACGAAACATGATTGTGGCAATCTATAAATACATTTGCATTACATTCTAAATTAGGATACAATTTCATAGAAATGAAGCTTTTGAATATTTTTAGAACGTAAATATATATAGTGCAGGTACTTTGTTGGTTTCGTCCTGTTAGGTAATCGATCATAGGCATCATCAATAATAGAATTAAAAGATTTATATGCATAAGGTGACATTCCATTTAATCTTATGATTAAATATACAGCGCATTTGTTATGTAATTTAACAGATGTCTATTTTTACAGATGAAAATAACGTAATATATATTATAATCGTAGGCTTCTCTGAAACGCATGCATATTGGCAGAAGAGCTGCATTGGAAGTATCCAAATAGAGCTCAAATGCTATGCAAAGATTGATTAAGAAAAGACTGCTTGATGTAATGCATTTGCGATGTAAACATATATAAAATGTATAAAAGAAAGTGTGTCAGTTTCTTTTAAATAAATAATGAAATATTTCTGGATCTATTCATATCTTTTAAACGTATTTGAAGGAAGATACATTTTGTCTCGTAATAAAACTCATCCGATTAGCGAAGACCGAACAAAATCGTAATTTAATTTAATAATTATCCCCTTAATGTATGTCTGTGTATTTGCATCGCTCCGTCCGTCCGCATCACGCATGCTCTATATAGAGAACAAAGGTATGTAGCTTGCACCATTTCTCTATAGAGAGCATTCAAGAAAAAAGAAAAAACAAAAAAAAAAACAAGTTGATAATATAAAAAGCTGACAAAATTTTTAATTGTAGTACGAAACAATCAGATTGAAATTATTGACGATGAATTAGGCAATTAGGCGAAAGACTTTTAAATCCGAATCTATTGCGATTTATGTGTTTTTAATGCATGTTTGTGGTAATGATGCGAACCTAGAGTCGATGTTTATTATTATTATTATTGTTTGTGTGTTTTATGTTCTAGTTTCAGACGATGTGACATAGATTATTTGTGTTTAGCATTTATTTGTTCTGTTTGACATAGTGGAGCGAGCAATATTAATTGACAATAAAAAAAAATACAAACTATATAGAGCCAGGGGATTGACGCTAATGTTTGAGTAAACGAAATGAGAAAAGTCCACAAAAATCACATTAATTCGTTTCCTTACTTCATCAAACAAATTTAATTTTTAACTTTTAACAGAATGTTACGGGCTAATTAAACTTTTATTGCTTTTGTGGATATTTCCTATTTTCTTATTCTTGCTGTTTTTTTTTGCACGACAATTGATGTTATCACTGTTGTTGAGACTTGCCGTTGTTGTTTTTTAATTTTTACTGTTGTTATCTTTACTGTGTGACATGCACACACGATGAAAAATTTAATTTAAAAAAAACAAAAATGGATGCCGCGCTGAAGAAGTTTTGCATCAAATTATTATTATTTTTTTTTAGTTTGGTCTTTTCTTTTGCACCCCGAGTTAAATATTTTTTGTTTGAAGCAGGTAGGAAGGGTTTTTCTTTTGTATGAATCGTCAACATGAAGATAATAAATAACGAAGAAATCCTTTCAATCATTTGCAAAACTATCCACCAATCAAATATATTATTATATAAAAAAAAATATGAAATAAATATAAAACTAAAGCAGTTAAGAGAAACCAGAACAAAAATAGCACTGATAAACTTTATTTTTCTTTGTTCTAACAGGCACACCTGAAGGTATGTAGTATTTTGTTTACAATTTCCTATATTTCAATTTTCTTTCATTTTCTTTCGAGACGAATCTAACTGATCTGAAATGAATGCGAGAGAGTGCGAGAAACTTCGATGAAGTTGATTTGTTTGGATTTACATTTATTTTTCTTATTTTTATTTTGTTTTGTAAACAATCTCTAATGCTAATAAACACTACTTGAAACCTATTTCTTTCTTGCTATATAAATATACATATCTTTCTCTCTCTCTCTATATATATATAAATATTTCGGTTGTAGTTATTATTATTATTGTTTTAAACTTTGATGATCCTTATTTATTGTTCCACCTGAATCTTACTATTTATTATTTTTTTCTTTGTTGAAACCCGTAGCGAAAACGTATTTTCCATTGATCTCCCACTTGAGTTGCAGGATGCGTCCTCGATTTAATTTCCAGTTTTACGGAAATAACTTAATTTGCCGTCACCCAGCAGCGTCCTTCCACTTTCTGTCTCTTCAATTTACATCTTCAATTTCTTTCAATTTGTAAACAAAATGTTGAAATCGAGCCTGTTAGGATCCCGGCCGCGTCGACCTCGCGATAAAAGACACTAAATAAATAAAACGAATTTGGTCTTAAAATTTGCAGAGGCGAATTTCTGTCCCTTCCGTCTTCATTCCGAAAGCAACCGCCACCCCGAGCAGTTTCGTTACGACATGCTCGGAATATTAAACTGGCCGCGATGACGCGATAAATTTTAATATAAACTCCCAGACATCGCTCTGAATGAAAAAATAAAGAAGCCAGCATATCAGCATTCATCAAATTATATTATTCACCAAAGACAAGAAAATCCTTTCCTCGATCCATTAAATTTCCGTCTTACATAATTTAATTACTTTTGAAATCGATAGTTGAATCCACACCTCGGAGGTAGCAAACGAATAATAGAATTTGTATAAGAAATTGAAAAAAAAAGCACCAAATAAGTATTGATGGATTTCGTTGGAGCTTTGTTAATTTCCTGCAGAGATAAAACCTCAAACTTTCGAGTCAATATTCAATTTCCTTTATTGCGCACGCATTAACTTAATGATTAACTGCAGGTAAAATCTGCAATTTCCTATTAGGAGCTTCCTGTATTTTTTTTTGTAAATATTTGCTTTCGCTTTATGCATGTTACCGTTCGCTCTGCAATAAACAGCGAAGTCCTGGACTTCTGGAAATAAAGCATGGCCAAATTATTATCCAACTAAAAAAAAATGTCGAAAATTATAGTAATAACTAAGAGTTTTTTTGAGAATAACAAATTAATTATTATTATTTTCTGAGCTTATTAGGCATTACCTGGATTGGAAAAAAAAGAAGTTAATTGAAGGAAAAAAAAGAAGTATTTCGTAATAACTAAATGAAATGGAATAGTTGGTAGTGTTTAGATTGAAATTAATTATGATTTGTTTGCTGTTCCTGTCCGTCCCAGGGCCGTTGATTAATTGATGGTTTCGTGTTTTTGTAGAGACACCGCTATGGCTCCTGCTGCAAATATCCCCGATCAAAAACGAGCGCGATCTCGTCGTGCTATTCCTACTCACGTTCAGGGATATTACCGCTCTGAAGCAGCCCATAGAAACAGACGATACCAAAGGAGGTAAGGAGTTTATGGGTCTTTAAAGGGAATTGGGTCTCTGCGATGAGGCACTACTACCGCTACAAAGAAGTCCACTTGTGGGGGTGGATGCTCTGTAAAAGTGGTATCAGTCATTTAAATCAGGCCATGGAATCAAGAGATTTGCACAAATTTGTAGCTTTATTGGAGTCTCCTATTTAATTGATTGTGTTTTTTTTAGGCCTTTCAAAATTTGCAAAGTTGGCGAGATCTGTAACGAGAAGTCGTTCCGTCTTAGTGTCGCAGTTCTCATCGCATCTGCCAAATTTAAAAGATACAACGAAGCAATCGCACTTGGCTCAGGTTTGTGTTTATGTATTATACAATTTTTTTTTAATCACTTTCTAAAGTGACTCAGTGACTGTTAATTATAAAATTATTTCAACTACTTAATGTAGATAAGACACATAACGCTCCAACCGCACTAAACACATAATAATTATATCAAATTAATAACATTACAGCAGCGGTCGGGGAACTTTTTTAACCATTACCCCAAAATATTATTGCGTAACTCGATATTACACGGGGGGGATTCTGAATAGAAAACAATCAATGTAAATTTTAAATAAACATTATTTATTGAATTAATTTGCATTTACATATTTATAAAAAAAAAGGTACATGAAAATAGTAACAAATAGTAATAGACAAACAAAATAAAATTCTTAAATTGGAAAATTAATTGAAAAATTTCCCCCTTCAGGTTTTGGAAACA